TGGGATCCGAACCGGGGCCCTCTGGCGTCCCAAGCCAGCTCTTAACCAACGAGCCACTCGGCCGGCCCTCCCCTCATTTTTTTGAGGCTCAGTTTGATCATGTGTAGAATGGGTTATAATGACACCTCTCTAGCCACCCCTTAGGGATGAGGTGAAGATAAAATGAATCAGTGCACACAAAAAGCATTTGTCAGCTGAAAGTTCCTGGACAGAGAAAGGGATTAATATTACCATGACTCTGGCTCAGAGTGGGACCTTCCCACACCATTAGATCACACCAGAGTAGATGATGGCCTTGCAGATGCTACTTCGTCTTTAATCCTCCAGCTGCCAAGCAGTAAAGAGAACCCTGGTGTCTCTTTCATCTTTAGCCCCACCCCCTGGGAGAAGGTGAGAAGCTGCCTAGAGAGCCTAGGAGCCAACCTCCCTCCTCCCACTCACCTAGAGACACTTGGGCGCCTCCACCAGCCTGGGCATTCACCAATGGGACCCCTCTTGTGGTAGAACAGGGGTCACCGACCTCTTGCCGCTCCTGAGTCAGCACGCATTCCTGCTCACAGACCTCACTCAAGCCCGGCCTCCCGCCACAGCACTAGGAGCTGCGTGCGGACACCTTCTTGGATCGTTCCAGAGACTTGCTAGCCTTGTCAATCTCTGCATCCTAAATTCGCCATTTGTGTGGAGATGGTGACAACGAGGCCCAGATAGATTACATGACCTGCTCTGTATGACAGTACATTTGAGCGTTAGCCAATGTTTTTCCTTTCCCTTCCCTCCCAAAGCTCCCCTCACCTTCCCCTTTGTTTCCAAGCACAAACAACCCCCCTGAAGACCCAGAAGTTCTGGGGTGGGGGTCTTCTTCCCTCTCTGAAAGATATCCTCATTCCCACCGCTTCTTATTGGAGTGGTCATGGAAACCCCTGCCCCTGAAATAACCACATACCCTCTCATGCCATGAACAGATGCCTTTTATACCACCTGCAAACCCAGGACCCAACCAAAACCATTCCCTGCAAAGAAACACTGTCCTTCCTTGCATCGTAGTGATCCCCAATGCTCCGAGAAACCTCCCCAAAGCTCCCCATCAGAATGAAGGTCTCCTTCCTTGGACCTCCCACCCCAGCCCGTTGCAGCATTTTTCTGTGCCTGTGTCTATAGTAGAAGTGTGTGCATACACACACACACACACACACACACACACACACACACACACACTCGTCTGTGCCTGGCACAGAGCAGGTGCTCCAAACCACGTTTTTTATATTTATTTGAACCTAATACTGGGTGGTTTGGGGGTCACACACCTGGACTCCAAGATGCCAACTATGGTGAGAGCTCCAAGACCAGCAGAGGACGAAACACAAAGCAAGGAATGGGACCCCTCTGCAGTCCCTTCCCCTCAGCAGCCATGTTGCCATCCCTCAGGTCTTCCCATCCTCGGCCTGGCCCGCCCAGCCTGGCTGAGAAGACGAGGAGGAGGGAGCAGTCATAGACACATAACAGGTCTATGTTGATGACTTGTCTCTTGCTCAAGGTCATTTAATGCCCAATTTCATGGGAAATCCTCTCGTCACCTCCACCCCAAATCTGGGTGCTTAGAGCTGTGCTCGACTAGAAAAAAGAACACGGGGACCAGCTCCAGGTAAAAATGGGTGGTTTCTTACCTAGAGCTGGGGACCCAGGAGGGTGGCACTGAGAGAACTCAGCCTTCCTGTAGGAGACCAGAGAACAGAGCCCTCAAACCAGCCAGAGACCCAGATTTTCCTAAAGCATTTACTGTAGTCTTATCCCCAGTGAGCTGAAATTGCAAGAACAACCCAAGTAAGGCAACAAAAGAACCTTTAGGTGGGAGGTTGCTGGGCGGCAGAGCTTGTGGAATCTCCTCTGGGTACTCTTGGAAGTAGAGCCAACTTGGTGGGTGGCTGCCTGGCGGCAGGGGCATGGCGGAGGTGGCCTGTCCAGCACCACTGGGCCCAGGATGAACTTGGAAGGGTGGGGGACTAAAGGCAGGAATCAACCGCTGGGGAGGAAGAGCTCTCCTAGGACAACCCAAGTGTGAGAGACACCAGCCTGGACTGACCTTCTGGCTGGCGGGTGACTCCGGTCCTGCCGGCAGATCTGGATGTGCCGGGGCAAGTCTCAGCCTTCCCTCCCTCCTCACCACCA